CAGGCTTGTGGGGCATCATCCCCAGAGGAGAGCCTCTTACTGATGCCAAGTGCTTCCTGCGGCGTCCTGTCTACCAGCTGCCAGAGAGTCTGAGCATGGAACCAGTCAGCGTCCCACTTTTGGATCTGGGAGTCGTGCTGAACTCCAATCTACACTCTGCCCTAGTTCCCTCAGGGCTAGAACAGAAAGGAGCCTCCTTCACCAGCACAATGCCCAGCCCTTCCTAAGTTCTTCCAGGAGATGGTCCCTCTTCTGGGGCATGGCTCTGTGGACCTCAATTGGTTCAGGCAATCAGCTGTTTCTTTCAGATTTGTCCAAAATGAAAACACGAAAACTGAGAAACAAGGGGACACCGTAGCTGGGAGGCAAGAGCAAAGGACTTCAAGCTACACCAAGAGCAAAGGGCCAGGACCAGAGCCAGCAGCTGACCCAGGCTAGACCAAGTTGATATAGAACTAGTAGCCAGCTGGCCAGCCAGGGCCCACTCCAGGCAGGCCCCTCCTGGGCCTTGGCACACATGGCTCCACCAAACCACTTTGCCTATTATTACCTGGTTAAGTTCTGATGGTCTACCTGGCCTTTGTCGGACCCATCTCTTCCCCAGGGTCCCTGACCCACTGCATATCCCCACCCTGGTGCAGGTATCACCACAGTGGCTACTCGAAGCTCACATAGTCTTCTGCCACTCAGAGGTGAACAGGCTGGCAAGCCCTGGGCCCATATTTTGCAGCACCAGAGAAGTCACTTGGGAAGTGGAGAGGGTCATTACAAGGATGGTAACTGCACAGTGACCTCCCTGCCCAGGAAGCCCAGGCCATGTGCCAGGCACCCTGGTGTTTCCTCAGTTTCCTGAAAATGAAGCTCAGAGGTAAGGCTCAGCCCACATGCTCCCTGAGTCAGCCCCACTGGGAACTGGCCAAAACCCCTCACTGCTGAGTCAGGGTCTATCCTTCGGAGTTAGGGGTATGGAGACACCACACCTCCTGGCACAAGGAAGTTCCCAAACACCTCAGCTCTTACCCAACCTGGGGCTGAGCATGGACCATAGTGCAAGCTCAGGCCCCTGGAAGAGGATAGCAGACAAGGGCATCTGGGCCTGGAAGATCTCTGCATCCTGTAGGTTTCACCCTTCATCCTTTATCTAAAACCGTCTAAGGCAGGTCAAGCCCTGGGCCAAAGGCGCAGCCCCGGCAGCATCCTCCAAGCATCCTCAGGACCGCCCTACAGAGAGGCCAGGGAGACCTGGGCAGGGCTGGCGAGTGCTGTCCTTCCTACAGGCTCTGAGGACACTGGCAACCAGCGGCTGGAGTCCAGAAGCCTGACCGCATCACCCCAAAGCACGAGCGGAGGAGCCTCTTCTGCAGATAGAAGCTGGCCCTCCCTGGCCCAAGGTCACCAAAGTCCCTGGTTCCAGCTGGCTCAGGGGATGGCCATGGGCCGGGTATGTCCCAAGTTTGCTACTCCAGAAAAGCAAACCTAATTTTGAAACAGGGAAGGAAAGGAAGGACTTCGGTGCACAAAGCGCCCATCGACCCTCACCATCCCACGCCCAGCCCCTCCCCGTGTGGCCGCACCTGGCCTACCGCCGCTTACCTGCAGGCCTTTGGAGAAGGGACAGAGGAGCACCAGATGCACCAGGCGCCGCAACCGCCGCATGATGGGCGCCGTCCAGGGCTGCGGAATCCCGCGGCTGGCTCGGCCTCAGCCCAGGCCTGGCCAGGCCCGCAGCTGCCGCCGCTCGCACGCCATACGGGCCGCGCGTCTTCGGCCCGCGTTAAAGGCGAGGCGCGTGCCTTTCTGACGGCCGACCGCGACGCACGCGCGGGGAGACGGTAGAGGAAGGGCGTGCACGCGCGGGGAGACGGATGGGAGGGGGCGTGCACGCGCGCGGAGACAAATGGGAAGGGCGTGCACGCGTATGGGGGGGGGGCTAGCGCGCGGCCCCACATCCAGTCTCGCCCTCCCGCTGGGGACCTCACCCCTGCCGGCTCCGCAACTAGCTAAAGACACCGGGGCTGAGCTTGGAGCGCAGGGGCAGAGTTGGCGCTGAAGACCTGCGAGGGCCCCAGCCTGCGCTTGCGCGTTTCTTACACCTTTTCAAGGGTAAAAAAAAAACGAGGGATCTGCCCCCAGCCCTCCCGTGTTTGCACGTGCGATCAGTAGTGAGGCCACCGCAGCTGTCTGGCACCCAGCGTCTGCAGCCCTGGCTGCACCGGGGCCTGGGGAAGGATCCAGGGAAAGGATCCACAGCCCCCACGGTCAGCAACTGCTCCTGAGAGCCAGTCTCTTCTGATTTCTGCCCACCGACTGATGCGCCCTTCTCATGTGATTCCCATTTAGAGTGATTAGGAAGGCAGCAGCTGACCCCTGGGTAAGGGGCTTGTTGAACTTCATGGACAATGGCCAGAATGCCCGCTGCACCGTCCCCCATGCTCACCAGCTGTCCTGAATCCTCACCGACACCTTTGGTGGAGATTCTATGGCGTTGTCGTTTGCTCGCTAGGGAATACAGAGGCTGAATAGCCTTCCCCTATACTCCAGTGCTGTCCATAGACATGCTTTGCAAAATGGTGTTAAAAGACAGCTTTAGTTTAAGGATGCTAATTACTTCATAATTACTGGACCAGGCCGATTTTCTTTTCATAAAGTGGAGAAAGTGTCCCATGAGCCCTGCTGAAGAAGTTGGATTTATAGGCTAGAAAGGATGAAGAGAGTTGGAGCCAAGAGCAGGTCACAAAACAATAGGAAAATAACATCAGATCAGTATCCCAGAACCTATGAAGCAGCAACAGAAGGATCAATGTAAGTTCAAGACCATCCTGGCCTTTGTAGCCAGAACTACAAAGGGAGACCCTGCCTCAGGGAAGGAAGGAGAAAGAGAGAGAAAGAAGTGAAACAGAGGGATTATTTCATTATTGCACCAATTATACACTACCTGCTTAGGAAGTTTGACTATTATGTCTCTAATCTTGATTTCTCAGGTCAGATAGACAGTGTAGTTTAAGTTTGGCAACAGGGAGGCTGGAGAAATGGTTCAGCAGGTAAAAATCACTTATTGTGAAATCCTAAGGCTTGAAATTCAAATCCCAGCACCCATGTGGCAAGTCTGGCATCCTGCTCATACCTGTAACCCCAGCTTGATAGGAACAGATCCAGGATGGTTGCTGGGACTTGCTGGCTTCCAGTCTAGCTGAGAAAACACAGCCCTGGGTTCAGGGAGAGACCCTGCCTCAAAGGAAAAGATGGAGAGTGATAGAAGAAGCACCCAACACCCACTTCTGGCCTCCATGTGCACACAAAGATGCATGATCCCCCCTCTCCCCTACACACACATAAATAAATACATCTTTTTTTTAAATAAAACATTAAGCTTGGTGACGTGGACTTGTGTCATGAGTAACTATGCAGTCTGGTCTTCTAGGGTACAATGGCCTTAAGTAAAGTCTGTGATACGCATGTATACTTGTTCATGTCTACATGCATATATGTGTGTGTGGAAGCCAAAGGTCTGTGTTATGTTTCCCCCTCTCCATTTTATCTTTATAAGATTTTTAAATTTCATTTTTATTTCATGTATCTGAGAGTTTTGCCTGCATTTACATGTACCACACGTGTGCCTAGTGCCCTAGGGGTTAGAAGAAGTCATTGGATCTCCTAGAACTGGAGTCATGGATGGTTGTGCTTTGCCACATGAGTACTGGGATTTGAACCTAGGCCCTCTGCAAGAACAAGTGCTCTTAACCACTGAACCATCTCTCCATACTCTGCCCCATCCCACCCTTTGAGGGATCCAGCCTCTCAGGGTACCAGTCCTTGAGTAAACTCCATCTCCTGCCCACTAACTCTTGGCTCTTGGAAAGTGGCTTTTAAGTGGCGATCAGATAGACTTGGATGCAATATCAAGTGTGCCTTTCACTGTGTTGTTGCTGTTGTTGTTGTCCCTTGGGCAAGGCCTGTCAGGTCTCCCAACCATGAAGCCACTGTGCTTCCTTCTGTAACTGGTAAGGGTCTCAGAAGTGACACTGTGGCCATGGGAATGCCTTGCCCTGTGTTTACCTTCTAACGTGGCATCCACTGGACTCCTGCTGGAAATGGCTGATTACACAATATGGTCTTTAAATACAGTTAGTTCTATCTGTTTCCTTGACTTTTTCTGTTGTGATAAGTAAACACAGCAGACATTACCCACATTCCTGTGGTTACCAACCATCGCCACATTCTCATCTCCCAATAAACCATTCCCTTGCCCCTCTCCCCAGTCCCTGACACCCACCCCTCTACCTTCTCTCTGCTGCTGATACCTCAAAGGACCTCATAGAAGTAGAGCCTACAGCACTGGTTCTTTTACTGAGCATCTTAACCCCGGGGTTGATGTTGTAGCATGTGTCAGAATTTCCTTTAAAAAAAAAGAGTATTAGATTTATTGACTCCCCTTGTGAGTTTTGCCTGCACACATGCATAATTGGTTTCCACAGATGTCAGAGGACGGCAACAGAGCCCTTAGAACTGGAGTTTCAAATGGTTGTGAGCCACTATGAGGGTACTGGGAATTGAACCCAGATCCTTATCAAAAGCAATAAGTGCTCTTTTGGGGGGAGGCGGGGTTCAAGACAAGGTTTCTCTGTGTAGTCCTGGCTGTCCAGGATCTCACTCTGTAGACCAGCTAGCCTTGAACACAGAGGTTCACCTGCCTCTGCCTCCCGAGTGCTGGGATTAAAGGTGTGCACCACCACCGCCTGATATGTTCTTTTTATTCTATACCCAGAATTGTAACTTGTAAATTGCTTGATAATTCTGTTTGATTTTTGAGGAATAGATGCTGTACCTGGCTTTTCACACCAGAGCAGGACTTTAAGGCAGCTTAAGCTAAGTCCAGAAAGGAACATTTGGAAACATCTGTTTACATGGATTTTTATCTTTCACCGATGATGGATTGAAACATAGCATTTGGCCGGCATGGTGGCACACAATCTGTAATCACAGGAGGCTGTAAACCTAAGGCCACTGGGACTGAAAATGAGTCCTTGGGGCTGAAGACATGGCTAAGCATTTAAGAGCATTGCTGCCCTTCCAGAGAACCTGGGTTTGGTTCCCAGCACCCACATGGTGGCTCACAAACATCTGTTACTCCGGCATCAAGGAATCCAGCACCTTCTTCTGACTTCGGATGGCACTACACACAGGGTACATTTACATGACAAACAGGTAAAGCACCATACCCATAAAATAAAAATAAATCTTTTCTTTTTTTTAAAAGGAGATCTTGTCTTTAAAACAAACAAAATATGTGTCCTTTGCATCTGTCTCTTCCTGAGTTCTTCATGATGTGGGAATAACCCTCTGGGGAGGTGGGGATCTGAAACAAGTTTTCACATAGCTCAGTTTGGCCTCAAATTCAGTATGTAGCCAAGGCTGGCCTTGACTCCTGATCCTCCTGCCTCTACTTCCCAAGTGCTGGTATTACAGGTGTGAACCACTGCATCCTGAACTCCAGACCCGACTCTGGAATGACCTTTTGTGGATTTCCTAACTGGTGAGCCTCCAACTTCCTCCACCAAATGAAAATACATCATCTCAAAACTAGGAAATGACTTATCTCCAAGAGCCTCCAGTTACCAGAATAACAAACTGATTCAGAACCAGGCTTCTCCCTTCCCCAACCGTCTGCTGCTCCTGTTCTAGCTGTATGCTGTGGAATAATCCATTTTGTACACTCTGAAGGTTTGTTACTGTGGTTGGTTTAATAAAGAAGCTGACTGGCCAATAGCTGAGCAGGATAACGTTAGTTGAGATAGCCAAACTGAGAGTGATGGGAAGAAGAAGGACAGAATGAGTGGAGAGTACAGCCAGCTGCTGAGGAAGCAGGATGTGTAGAAAATGAGGTAACAAGCCTTGAGCCACATGGCAAAGCATAAATAGAAATATGGGTCAATTTAAATGTAAGAATTAGGCAGTAACATGCCTGAGCTATTGGCTGAGCATTTATAATTTATATTAAGACTCTGAGTGGTTATTTGGGAAGTGCCTGCTGGTTATTTGGGAGCAGGTGGTCAGGCAGGAAAACTCTGCCTACAGCTGTAGAGCTACAGTCCCAAGTTCATAGCCCTTTGAAGATGGCAGCACTGTGGGTAGGTCTCCCAAAGGAACTCACCTATGCTGTTGTACTTAAGTTGTAGTTGCTATGGCAACTGCATGGCTCAACTAAATGCTGTGTACACTAATAATATCTCCATGTATATTGGGAAGGAATTTGGTTGAAACCAAGTGGAATCCCACCCTACCCCAAGAATTGGCAGCCAAGACAGCTAATGACAGGAGAAACTCCAGGAAAAAAAATCCTCAAACTCTAAGAGCTTGTGCTCTCAGGCTGCAAGCCCCCTTCAGCAGAATGGTGGGTACACCTCAACATCATGATTGACGTGTGGACTATGGTCCTTGGTGGCATGCTCACACCAGCAGGACCTTTGCACAGGTACCCACTGCCTATCAAGTGCCTGTGTGTGCTATGTGCTTGCCCTTCTGTTATTCCCTGTCCTCACTGAGCCTTCATGAATATCTGGTTCATCTCGGCACTGCCATTATGAGCTATGTGATTTGTGTGACTCTGTGTGTGTGTGTGTGTGTGTGTGTGTGTGTGTGTGTGTGTGTGTGTGTATGTGTGTGTGTGTATGGATAAGTATGTTTGTGTGTACCTGTGTGTGCATGTATGTGTGTGTGTGTGTTTGCACATGTGCATGTGTGGTGCTGAAGATGGAATCCAGGATCCTGTACATGCTAGATTAGTACTCTGCCCCTGAGCCATACCTCCAGCCCCTTAGGCAGATGGAATGATCCAATGGCTGCCTTCCAAAAGTCTCTCCCACATCCTGGTTCCTAGGACCTGAGCTGTGATGTCATTTGGGAAAAGGGTCTTTGCCAGAAATCAGAAGTCAGGACCATATTTACACTGGTACTCTAATAAAGGACCCTTCCCACTTATTCAGGGCCTA